CCTGGCATCAGCACAGCCCAAGCAGGCCGGAAAAAAAAGAAAAACGACAAAAGCACATTGACTTCTCGGCGAAGGACTGCCTGTCCGAGCAGTCAAGGAGGACCGCAATTAAACAATCAATCACCGTATCATCGATCCCCAAGGGAGACAACTGTATCTGGGCCTAACTAAAAATGCAACGGCTTTGCACAGATAAAAGAAAAGCATTTGAAATGGAGTAACAGCTCTATTTTCTTGTGTAAACATATCAAGAAAACAAAATTTTTTGGTGATTTAAAAAAAAAATATTTCAAATATATTTTGATTAAAATGTTTAACTTTTAATTATATACAGTGTGTGTATATATATGTATATATATATATATATATATATATACAGTGGGTATGGAAAGTATTCAGACCCCCTTAAATTTTTCACTCTTTGTTATATTGCAGCCATTTGCTAAAATCATTTAAGTTATTTTTTTCCCCTCATTAATGTACCCCATATTGACAGAAAAACACAGAATTGTTGACATTTTTGCAGATTTATTAAAAAAGAAAAACTGAAATATCACATGGTCCTAAGTATTCAGACCCTTTGCTCAGTATTTAGTAGAAGCACCCTTTTGATCTAATACAGCCATGAGTCTTTTTGGGAAAGAGGCAACAAGTTTTTCACACCTGGATTTGGGGATCCGAGAGAGAGAGAGAGAGAGCGTTGGGGGGTTAAAAATACATTTTAAATAATAGTTTATCATAATTAATTAATATATACATACTTCGTCTTTTAGTCAATAAAGAAATGTCAAAAAGTTAATAAGCCACTGAAAGACCTGCTCAATGCGCTCATGAGTGATTGAACCATCCAACCACAAACTACTAAAACACAATTAATGCTGTTCTGTAAGATTTGCTCATTCAATTTCTTTTCTGACTGTTTATAATGTATCACAATGATGTATCAATCTAAAAAGACAGCATCACAGTTGTGATTCACAAATTAAAAGATTGTCTTTTAGACAATCTTTTAGCTATTGAATGAGACATTTACACCCCTCTTTTTCTTCACTGCAAGCTAACCAGGAACAGTAGGAGTCTTTGGTTCTCCTGCAGAGACTGTGGTTGAGAGAGAGGGCTGATGTATAATGCATACATTATACATCAGAATGAATGAGGGCCAGCAGAGTGTCAGAGGAGACAGAGTCAGACTCAAGCTGTTCCTCCAGTAGCCTGCTTCATCCCTCCTTTAATTACACTCTATTGATCAAACACAGATGGAGGGGGGAATGAGGAATGAAGTGAAATAAAGAAAAAGAAAGACATGGAAGGACAGGGAGAAAGAAGTGTTGTGTGTAGTTTGCAAGAGGGAGAGAAATAAACTATTACTACTGCTGTCGTATCTAGTATGTATACAGTGCAAAGTATGCTAATTTTGTGACCTACTACATTTGCTAAAATGCTTACTACATGGAATAGCGTATTTCAACATGCAATGCTTAACTTAAACTTCCATTTCCAGTGTGACTGATAAACCAGATGTAAATTTAACTGAGCCACAAAAATGTAATTGAAAATGCAAAATAAATATAATTAATATTCTATCTATTAATTAATTAATATAATTTTATATCTTTATATTTTGAAATATATAGATAACAATAATATATATTTTAAAATATTGTAAAAATAATGGGTAGTGTGTATGTGTGTGTGTGTGTACTAGTATTCCATTTAGAATATAGTCTATAATCTAATAGGTTTTACAGTGATTGTACAAAGTCACTTCTGATGTTAAAAGGGCAACATAATTGTTATTTTTTAACTGTTTCTCACACAAACAAACACCACTCCAATTTATTTCCACTTTTAGATATCGATCTGCTCTTCCAAAAATTACATACTTGACCCTCATAATAAAATATGATATTAAACTATTATTAATAATAACAGTATCTCCACACAACAAACATTAGTGTGTGACACTTGACTAAAGTGTACCTTCTCCTCTCTTTTCTTTCATTTTTTTGACCTACTTAGCTCTCTGTTCTAGGGCTGCATCTTGGCTCCTTTGTTTCAAACCGATATAGACTGAATCTCTTCTGAGATCAGGAATTCCTGTGCTTGGGGTCATCTGCCTCCTGCCAGACTCTAGTGGCTCATGTACCGTGAGGCAGAAACACATTTCAGCGGATGAAGGAGCGTATTCTTCCTGTGAGCATGTGGTGGGAGATGAATCATGATTTTCCATGACAGGGAGGCTCAGAGAAAAACCCACAACAACAGGCATGCTGCTGAACTCTGGATTACCTTTTTAGAAACAAGACGACAAGTCACTGCTCTCATAAATATCCATCAGAGATGACACTAACCGATCATCACTGTGCACCATTAATGAGAACACAGCCTAGAGGGAAGTTTAAAATGTACAGCCTTCTGTGATCAACTGTCATCTTCACCAAGTAACAGGTTTAGAAACATCCACACACTCAAAACACGGCATTGTACACTCTAGGGGTGCTCCGATCAGGATTTTTGAGGCCGATCACCGATCACAGAAAGCAGTATTCAACGATACCGATCTTTTTAAAGCCTTATTTTTATCATTTATAACTATTTATAGTGATACTCCAATCAGGATTTTTAGACATTTATTCAGGGCCTGAATTTCATTTTTGAAAATGGGGGGAATTCCCCTCTTAGGTGACTCTTGTGAGAGGGGAAGCAGCACTGACTGCTTTCACACAGGAGTCTGCTACTGATCCGTGGCTGTTTACCACAAACACGACATTTATCCATTATTTTGATTTTAAATCCAAACATTGTCACTGAAAATGCTTTTTCAACATTGTGATTCTTTTTTACACAGTACAGTAATACAATCTTTCACAGACATGTTTAAACTCAATAAATATAAGCAACACATTATTCAATGCTTTTTACTTTGCATTTACTTCTAGATTTATATATTAAGTTGCTCAAGCAACTGGCAAAACATTTAAATTACTTTTCTTACGTTATCACAAACTTACCATTGACAGAAATAGTCAGCTCTACTGCCTTTTCTTTTGCATTTAAATCTTTATTACAAGCAATCCTGCGGTTCATAAAGAACTTTGTTTTCCTGCCTCCACGAGTGCCATCTATTATTGCCTTCTTTATCTAAAAGTGCTCTTTCCCTTTATACCTAGCCAAAAAGCCATATGTGTTGACTGTGAAACACAGTAGACTTTAATAATATGCATTTATGGTGTAATTACTACATTTTCGTGTCAATCCATGGTCATATTTACTGAAAACAATGCGCTGTTACTTTAATTCAGCGAATCAGCGCTTGGAGCGCAGCAGTAGACTCGGTGCGGAAACGATCTCTGTACTGCTGCAGACGCACCGCACCTGGAGAGCACTGCTGGACCGCAACCGTGTGCAGTGTGCACGCTGTATTAATCCGTTAACATGAGCACGGAAAAAATACACACCACATATGCACTGCAAAAGGAGTAATGTGAACCTGCCATTATGTGTTTGCGCTGCAAGTGTGCTTTATTAATCCGTTAACATGAGCGCAGAAAAAATACACACCACATATGCACTGCAAACAGAGTAATGTGAACCTGCCATTATGTGTTTGCGCTGCGAGTGTGCATGAGTGCACGGTCTCCAAGAGAGCGCGTGAGCGCTGAATGGATAAACACTGGCAAGAATTAAAAAGAAATGCAATTTATTAACTTTAGTGACGATGTGACACTGCCTCGACTGAGCAAGTGACAATTCCTGTGTCAACTGTGCAGCGTGCAGCTCGCTTATAGACAGACGTGATGTGGTGATTTGAAGCCATTTGCGTATTTTGAGAGAGAAAGAGGGAGTGATGATTGACTCAGGCCGCTTGTGAAATTACGTCTCACACAAGGTTTTCAAATTACTTTATAAGTTATTTAATGAAGAAATATGAAGTTGAGTACCTTATTATCTATATTCATTATAATTATTTCACCCGTGCCAGACAGAGACTGAGACGGTGCCGCGGCATGACGTGCCAAACCTCTCACGGCAGCGTCATCAGCTTGAGATCGTTTTTTTTTAGATCGGCCTTTTAAAGACCGCCGATCAATCATCCCAACATGATTATCGGCCGATAGTGATCGGTGGCCCATCAATCAGAGCACCCCTAGTACACTCTGATGTGAAGTTTGCTATTATAGGATCAGCTTTCTTTGCCTACTTTCCGCAGTTTAATTCCCCTATAATAAAACAATCCATTTGCTAATTACTTACAAAATACTGTAGAATATCCTGTATTCTGAGTACTATTAAAAGATAAAAATAAAATAGAATAAAATAAAACATGCAACAAAATAAAATGTCAGAAAGTTTCACCTACATTAGATATTTAAAATATACTTTCTTTGAATTAATTAGCATCTTTATTATTGACCTCAGACACTAATGAGATGGACAGGCAGGGACAGATGCTGAACTTATCCTTTTAATCTCATCTCCTTGTTAAGACTGAAAGAAATGAACATGTAAAGGTGAGATGAGATGGAGGCGGATACGGCCCCTGATACTTGTATAATTAGAGAATGAACCCCTGTTTATAGCCTGGGTATCAGAACAGTGAATTTCACAGTCTAGAGATTGATCACAGGGTTTCAAATTAGAAAATATATTTCAGAACACTGCAAAAAAATTAAAAAATCCTTACTATGCAAGAATGTAATAAAACATGAAGAACTATCTAAAAAAGCTTTCTAATTTCAATAAGGTTCTCATTCTGGAAAAAAACACACCCACTGAAATTAAATAGTTAATGAGAACAGTAGTTTTTGCTTGATTCCCAAAGTACACTAAATGTTTCCCCCAGATCTTTTTTATAGATTGTTAAAAATAATTGTAAGACCGATACACTGTACACAGAACTACAGAATGAAAAATGGTTTGTTAGGAAAATGAAAAAAGAAAATAGCTGAGGGCAACAATTCCCAACCAAAATTTGACTGCAACTGAGTTAAAAGTCTTACCTGCCATGTATTTTAATGCCAGAGATGGCGTAGAAGTATCTGGAAAGGTTGTACTCATCCACCATGGTGGTGCCCGTGGCAGGCCTGAGAAGACGTATACGCAGGTCAGTAATGGTGAAAAAGTCTCTCAGGTTCTTGGTGGTGTCCAGTTGTCCATACAGCGAGGCCATATTGTGCAACTTGGGCCCGGCAAACAGTGCGAAACGGTCTTTGACTTCAAAGCGTACAGTCTTGTCGTTCTTCCACACGTAACCTCTTGAATATTCCTCGGTGCAGATGATGTCCAGCAACGTGTGCTGGGTAATGTCCCTCACCGTTTTGGGCTCCATAGTGAAAGCGTCAAGGCAGTCGGTAGCATAGAACTGGTAGGGCTGCCAGCTACGTCCATAGTCCAGAGACTTCTCCAAAACCATTTGCTCTGGCCGACCCGACTCAAAAGTGATGACAATATCATCGGTCAGCTCAATAGTCTTGTTCCATGACAGGGTTATGTTGACCACCAGAGGTTTAGGGTATTTCTTCCAGGAGGTGGACTGCCAGAAGGTGGTGGGGTTGCGGCCCTCATGGTCGAACATGAGCTCAGGGGGGTGGGCCAGCTCTTCTGTGGCTGCGTCACACTCATTGTTGCACATATAGGGGTTTTCCTACAAGATAAAGCAAATAAAGAAGACAACAGTTAAATGAGTATCCAAACAAAAGTGCTTTTAAATGAGCTTTTTCACATGTGTGCACATATGGAGCAAAGGCTGGTTTAGGCTAATGAAATGAAGACTATTCATATTTCAAAGGTACTGGCCTTGGTGGTACATGAGCAATATTATGGATATGGAGCAGAGGTTGAATCTATTCTCCAGCTGTTGGCTAAATCCAGAAAAGGACTGGCCATTAAATGCCCAAAGACTCAGAGATCTTTTATAGAACCATTTAAAGTCAAGTTCCTTCATGCAGACAACCAGTAAAACCAGTCTTGTTTAGCACATAATTTACGAGAAGATTATTCCCTGTTTTAAGTTCCATCAATCCATGATAATAAAGAACAAGAGAATGGGATTCATGTTAAAATGCTCATTAAAAAGAGAACAATATGAAGGTCAGACTGACAAAATGTGAAAAATACACTCTCCTCAAGTCATTCTTTTGCATAAACGCTACCTTGTTCTGCACCTTGAGGTAAGGACACACAAAGGTGCACTCTTGTCAGCCACCGCTGACAGGTGAAAACATACCACAGATCTGCAATTCAGAAAGAGGCATTGAAACAAGAGTGCTACTGGTTTGCGTGAAGACCTCTGATGCCCTAATGTCAACTGTCCTTCCTCACTCTGTAGCATCCTCTCAAACTAATCAGCGTACTGGTATGGTCTGCTGCGCCACATGCTGGTGTGCACTAAACAGGGGCTCGTGGGGCTGTTATACTGTTGGGTGGTGGTGGCGTCCTCCAGGAACTACCTCTCAAGAGGAACAAGCTCCAATTTATCTGAACAAGAAACAAAGCAGCTGATTAAGTGGGAGATGTCTGTCTCTCTGCGGGAATCTGCAGGCCTGGAAGCTGGGGAAGAGCACGGTGATAAAGGATAGGTGGAGAAATGGACTGTGGAGAAGAAAATTAGTGACACAGTGGCAGAGAGGTACACAGGGGGGGTGGGGGGGGACTGCTTCTGTTAATGGGCTTTTTCTCTTGCCTTGTCCTCTAAGGCAATGTGACAACGAAGCCCTGACAACCATTTAACCTCCTAATTCTGACAAAGTGGCATTAATATGCTCTCCAGTCAGTCCTCTACAGCCATGCACATAAGCCTGAAGAATGATCAGACCCACCAGTGGAGTCCACGCCCAGTACCGCCGCACCCTATACGCAGAGTACGCAGTTTGCGTAGGGCACCAACTCCCAGGTTGGCACCCTCCCAGTTGCTCAAAAAAAATAAAAAAAACTTTTGTTCTATATTAATATTAAACATAAAATAAAACATGAACATATATATATATATATATATATATATATATAAATGTGTTTTACGGTGAACGCATTAGCACACGTAATGCGCCGTTCACGCATCTGCGCCCGCGCCCTCATCTCATGTTTGCGGCTGACTGCAAATGATCATTGATAGATAACTATGCCTGGGAAAAGACATCAGCAGTCTGGCGCCTAGAAAATAAAAATAAAAATAAAACCCAAGACGAAGCCCGTGCATCACTTTTAGGTACGTTCATAATCCTGTGAAACGTTTTTGATTGTTGACGTTAATAACATGTTTTAATGTCGGTAAGGCTATCACCACCACCAACAAATCTAATATTCTTTCTGAGTTTCCATGTTCCCTTACGAAAATTAACCATAATTTTACTAGGAAAAAAAAAGGTTCTTGTAGCAATGGTAGCCACAAATTAACCATGGTTTTGTTACTTCAAATAATCATTTGCAAAGAAGTATTCAGGAAATATTTTTTGTGGTTATAAAAACAGACCTAAGCCAACAACAGCCTTTAAACTGACTTAAAATACATTATATAAAAACAATGATGCAATAATGATTGGTTAATTAATAATAATCATATGGTTTCATTGAATAACACTGTTAAAATACATTATGTAATACAAAATAAAAAATGTATGTAGATCACATATTATTACAAAAGCCTACAAAGGACTTCAAAGGCCTGGTAATTGCTGTTGTAACACTTACAGGACAATCAAATCCTTGTTTATTAATATTGACCAAACATTTAATTCAAATAATCACTTAATCTTTCATTTTTGGCCACCTTTTGGTGATAGAAATGCTAGCCTCTATAATTTCTTCAACAAAACATGTGGACATCACAACCCTTACAAAAATTAACCATGGTTTTATCGTAGTAAAACTACTTAATTTTCTTTTGTGTGATTTCTGAATGCTTGAGACTATAAAATCAATCAGACAACTGTATTAGTAAAATCATAACCATAGGCGACTGCCTAGCTACAATTGTAATTTGTAAATGATACAATTTAATTACAATTTATTTATTCATCTATTTTGACCCTTATAGTAGGTGTTTTTTTTTACTTCCATAATATTGCGGAGAAAAAAACAAGCTTTATTACTCCTTTTTTAATTCTTAAATTTTGGGTTTGTTTTTCTTTTGTTGACTTTATACTTTGGAGTTGCTCCGTGGTTTGGGGAAGTACATTATCCTTTGCTAGTTTTCTATGTTCATTTGTGTTTTCCGTTTTCTTCGTTTGGATGCGTGTTTTCCATTTGTGTTATGTTCCGTTTTGTTATTTAAATTGCCTGGCATTTGGATTCACGTGTCCTCTTTATGCTGCATCCCCCTTTCTGGCTAAACTTAACAGGGGTTTGTAACAGGGGGCACAACAGTACAATTCTGCTTAGGGCACCCATTTGGCCAGCAGCGGTCCTGCACATGCCTCTCAATAGACCATCCAGTCAAGAGGGCAGAGCTGTTGATTCATGCTGTTCTATCTCAGGGTGTGCTTCAGGCGCTAGCCCTACTATGAAGAGAATAACTCATTGATGTCTATAGTACTCTACATTTAGCTAGCAAGTATCAATATCACTATTGCTTATTTTTGGAGTGTGTGATTAAGTGATTTAAACAAATTCCTTCCACGAAGAAATAAGCTAAATTAAGCAAAACATTGTGTTTGTTTTGAACATGAATGATAACTCATATTGCACAGCTTGTTAAGGAGAGGTGAGCAATTACTTTTCCTCCTGGCAGACAAAACAGGCAAACAAACTGCATAGATTTACATTGATGCCAAATCTATAAAGAGTTGAGGATGGACCCTTTTGACTTAGTCCAGTAAGCAACCACCCAGAATTCCCTAGTATCTGCTTAGCAAGGCATTAAAAAGACTCTGAACACCTTAGTTACCGCACAGAAATCCCCATGCAACTAGGGATGAAGCGATTAACCAGTTTCACAATTAACCGCGCTTTAAAATGTCACGGTTAATTAATCGTAAAGGCCCCGCTACACTGAGTGTTTCTGTTGCACGGACGGAATTGTTGCAACTTGCGCAAAATGAAAACACCGTTACACTAGCGGTGCACAAGCTTAAAATGATGTGCTTATCAGAGACACGGAGGCTCCTACACACACTAGATGAACTATGACAGAGGAACCAAAAAGCGATCCTTTATTTCCACCAGAGAAATGCCTGAAGATGATAGTGTGGGACCATTTCGAGTATACAAAGAATGAATGTCAGAATGTCAATTAAATATTGCCATAAAAACTGCTGCTAAAGAGTGAATACACGGCTTTAAACAATTTTAATGCACGACGAGAAGGCAAGACTGACGCTAAGCTACGGCTCATTAGCTCAGTATTCTGCCCACTTCAGATCAGACAGATGAACTAGTGTGGTAAGTTCACATTTATTTGAGTTAATTAATTATAACATTTAGCTACTTTAATTAATTATTCGATCGAGAGAGAGAGAGAGAGAGAGAGAGAGAGAGAGAGAGAGAGAGAGAGAAGTGTGTGTGTGAACCTGCGTCCCTGCGTCTCTCTACAAACATGTGACGTTAGTTACTTAAACAGTGATTTTACCCTCTCCTTGCTGATGAATATGTAGCAATTCAATATCTAAGCTACCGTATTAGCCCAAATATAAGACGACCCTGATTATAAGACGACCCCCTTTTTCCAGATGTACCTTTCGGAAAAAGGCTTTTTAAAAACCAAATCTTGTTTTTTCTCAGTAAAACACATTTTGTCTTCAATTATTTTTATATTGCATATTTTTCCTAGTTTAATTTTTGTTTTGAAAGTATGGTAAAAACTGGTAAAATGTACCAACATTCACATTTAAAAAATATACACTTTTTGATATACCATTAAAAAAAACAAAAAAACAAAAAAAACCAGGTAGCCCATCTGAATTAGGACATTTAGGCTATCCATCTAATAGTAGCCTACCAAAATCTTATTAACAGTGGAAGTTAAATCTTACTGTAGTCTTCAAATCTGGGTACTGTCTTACGTTTTAAAATCACGAAGGGAGTTTGGTCCCATCAGGCTAATGTGACAGTCACGACTCATGCAGCTGTAAGGTTTTCTTTCTCTTTAGTTTTTACTCGCGATCTTTACAACATGCATTACATTACGTATGACCGCGTTTTTTCAGATGTATTTCCAAGAAAAAATCATCATCTTATATTCGGGTCAATATGGTATTTTATTAATAAAAGTCACAGGGCAGGGTTCACAACAAGTTTGTGTCCTCCTGAATGTTTGTATGTGTGCGCAGAGCGATCTCCGATCTCACAAACCAAAATAATAGACATGATTTTTTCAGGCCACATGTAAAATCATATGAATTATTATAAAAATTATTAAAATTAATACGTATGGATGACAGTTTATTACAATGATAGTTCAGTTTATTCCCCTCATTATTAATCATTTCACTTGTGGGATAAAAAAAGTAAATAGTCCTATATTAATAATACTTATTAACATTGTTATATATTATCCCTTTTATAGTATTATGCATAAGTCAAAAACCAACAAGATTTTTTTTTTCACCATGTTTCCAGTTTTCTGCCTCTGGTCCAAAAGAAATGTAAAGAATGTACAAACTGAAAACACTAAATAGCCTACTTTTGTGATCTATTTTCATTAGTTATTTT